TTTTGCCAGAAAAAATTAAATTTTTTTAGCATTACAAGTAATGGTCTTAAACAAACAAATTAAAAAAATAATGTATATAAAATATTTATTTTTGTTAAAACTACCTCTCTTTTAAAGGTAAGCCTCAAAGTGGTCGAATGTACCCCACCACTGGGGTAGTTTCAATCACCTAAAGGGGTACTTTCGACCATATCATTGTTAACAAAATAATAAATCTATATACTTTTTTTCTTTTGAATGTTTTATTGAACAAATAAATACTTTCCACAAAATATTTAAAAACAAATAGTAATAGCTATTTTACAACAAAAATTGCAACAAGTTATATTGAAATAACTTGTTGCAATTTTTCCTCTTTTGTCTTTTTATTTATTTTGTCTTTGAGAAGCTTAAGGCAAGGGGCGCATATGTTCTAAAATTAGTTTTTAATTGTTAGAGTTATTCTAGTAGTTGCAAGAGGAATGTGTTTTATTGGTAGATAAGAGTGGTAAATTATTTTGTAATGGTTTACAAAATAATTTACCACTCTAAAGGCATCTAAAAGATAAGAGAAACAAATTATCGTGGTATTTTCAAGCACCCGTCGAATGTTCCCCAGCTAGGTAGGTCGAATGTGCCCCAAGCGTGTTATATATAAACAAATGCTGTTAAAAGCTGAAATAATTTTTTTGAAGTAAACCAAACACAAAGGTTTTTAACTCAAGATATCATTAAACAATAAACAACAAAAAAGTTTAGAAGATTAAAGTTGGAGAAGAGATTCTTTGCGGATTATTTAAAACATAAAAAAATTACCTTTAATAGCAATAATTAGAATTTCTTCTAAATAAGTGCTAATACTAATAAAGATGGATTGATACTTATTTTCCGCGATAGCTTATTAACAGGCAAAATATGCATAAAAATTTTAAGTGATAAATTTAATCATGCTTGGAAATATTTGAAAAGGTCGAATATTTCCAAGCATGTCAAATGTTAATATTGGGTTTTGGTAAGTGTTTTAAAATAATTTTAAAAATCTAAACTAACTTTTAAACATATTTTTTTGTAAAAACAGTTTTTATCTTAAATAACATATGGAGGGGGAGGAAGTTACATGGAGAGGGCGGGGATTTTTTTCAAAGCTAATTATGCCTCTAAAACAATTTTTGTTAAAAGAATACAACTTTGAAATTAAAAAATGAGATCTTTTATGATAAAATTGAGATAAATTCAAGTTAATAATATAACAATGCAATACATCTAGCAGTTTAACATGAAATATTGAAATTCATTATAAAATAATTCAATCATTTCAAAGTTCACAATAATTAAAAATTTTAAAAAAGAAAAGAAAAGGACTACTTGAAACAGTTTATACCAAACTCAATCACACTTTTCTTAAGCTGTTTTGTATAATCATTGTGTTCCAAACGACGCTTGTATTGCTTCCATACTTGATAGTGGTGAGCACTTTCTCCTGCCTGCTTGGCATTTACACCAAGCCCAAACTGACTATGCTGAAGAAAATGAACAAGATGGCATACTAAAATATGAACTTTCCAGCTGATATTTAATTGGTAGTTGAACTTTTCCAGAAGATGAAGTTGCAGATTTTTGAAAGCTTTTTTAAAATCTAAAACTGATTCAGCAATAGAATCTCCAATAAACATGTTAAAACCTGTTGTTTTAATAATTAAAAACTTTCTAAGACAGCTAACTACAGGTTGGAGAAATATCATATTTGGTAATATAGAGGCTGCACTTAGAAGGTTAACTTCTAAATTATCTAATTTATCTAAAAGTTTTTATAAATTGTTACCATCTAAACAAGTTCCGTGGTAACCTCTAAAAATTATATAATTCGACTTAAGCCTCAAACCAAAATCAGGCCACAGTGTAATTAATATTTTTACAAACATAGAAGTAATACCAATAAGAATGTGTAACTCTGGTGCAGGAATGAGATGTTCTACTAAAGTTACTAGAGGTTCATCTACATCTACGATACTAGGAGAAATACAGCTTTTAAATTCCATGATGTGATTTTTTTTGTATTCATCTTCAATGTACTTGTTGTAGTTGATATCAATTGAACCTAAGGTTTTTTTTTCTCGCTCTCAAGAGTACTTTCTCCTTCACACCAGAGACATGCATACTTGTCACTGACTGCTTAAACCAAATAGTTACCATATTTTAGATCAAATGCTATTAAATAGTTTATATCATTCAGAGCTAGTGGTTTCAATAGTTTGCTAAGATTACCATTATGCTCTAAAACATCTTCAACTAGAGTCAAAACCAATGATCTTTTTACACCAGAATCATCAAGACCTCCTGAAGTTGTATATTTAGATAGTAGATCAAAAACATTTATGTGGATCAAATGCATTAAAGAAAACCCTGTCCACCATCAATGAAAATACTAGTAATAGTGCAATAAGGATTCAAACCTCTTTCATTAATCATGCGAAGAATTTAATCAGAAGTATTTTTTAAAAATACTAAACTGTGATGTATCTCCTCATCCCCTGAAATGAATGATTCAGTTTTGACATCATAAAAATATGAAAATACCTTATGCAGCTATCTGAGTTGAAACATTAGGTTCTAACATTTTCTTTGCTAAATTTTGTCGCATATGTTTACAAAGTAGCTTAGTCTTTCTTTTACTCAGGTTTAGAGTATTAGAGATTTCTATTATAGTTTCTAGAGATAACTTTTTAACGGATGCTCTGCTACATTTATTATCAGGTGTGCCAACAACAACAAGAAGATTGTTTCCAAAGGTTTTTAAAGGAAATTTGTCTCCAGATTTAATTCTCTTTTAATTTTTATTTTGAGAATCCCAGAAGCAACTTGCTTACTGGATACATTTCCAAGATCTTCAGCCAAGATAAATAGGTTTTTTACAGCTTCAATCTTACAACAAAAGTGAGAAATTCCTTTGCCTAAATAGAAATTTAATATAGGAAAAACTCTGATATTATTATATTTGTAAAACATTTAAAAATAATACACTAATATTTAATAAGTCATAGACTGTGCATTGACTAGCATAGACTCTATGCTAAATTTAATTTTTTTTTTTGTAAATAATTGAAGAATTAACTAAAATATTATATAAGTTATAGAATATTTAATTTGTTTAAGGAAATCATACCTATTGTAGAAAAGCAAGAAGGGCATATCTTTTTAACAACTTTATCAACAATATCTTGATTATTTGTTGTGATTTGTTGTGACAAATTAGACATTTTTTGTCGGCCTTTTTAAAAAAAATAAGTTTTATATGATCGCTTTTAACCCTAATAATAATTATTTTCATCTGTATTGCAACATTTTGTACCAATTTGAATAGATGATGTAATCAAAAAAAGACAATTTATTTTAGACATTTTAATTAATTAAATCTAAAATTTCTATGTTTAAAAGTTAGTTTAGATTTTAAAAATTATTTTAAAATACTTTATTTAACCCAATAATAAATAAACAAAAAAATTTAGAGTAAACCAATATTTACCCTGGTGGTCTTAGGAGAGCACAGTGGCTTGTTGACCTCTGATTACATATTTGAAACTAGTGATTGAAAAATCAAACAGTTTTTACAATTTAAAGATTTGTTAAAAAATTTAATAAATTTTTGTATAATTTTATATGTATGGAATGCTTGATAAAACTATAACCAATATCTTGTGTTATTCAATATATTTAGTCATTCTATTCATTTCTTTTAACTTAAAAATGAAAGATTTAAATCAAAGTTTTCAATTTTTTTTGAACAAGTTTTAGGATTTTAAAAGAATAATATTTTATAAATTATTATTAGTACTAGGGATGAAATGGAGGTGTATCAGAGGTGTAACAAAAGTTTTAAATTTGTCTTATTGGAATCTAATTATTTATAGCAAAATGCATATAATATAAATAGATGCTATGGAGCTTCAAATCCTACTACAATAGGTTGGATCGGTTTCGATTGATTTTCCCAAGTTCTGACGAACCAAATAGGAAGTTAAAACAAAAATATAAAAATGCAGCACATTTTATGGAACTAGAGAGTTTTAAAAACATTTGTTTTGATATTATAAAGTTAAACTAAAACATTTATTAAAAGTTGTTTATAAACTGTGAATTGAAAATCTTAGTTTGGACCTGTGGTTCCGATAAACCTCTGTTACATATCTAATACACCTCCATTACATCTCCAATTAGTACATCTGAATTCTGATGATCTTAGGGGCTGTCCATTAATCAAGTCAACAGTTTTTTTACAACTTTTACCTTCCCCTCTCTTTTGTCAATAACTTAATAACTGGCTTGATTATTCAATATCCCCCATTCTCCTTAATGAATCAATAATGAGTCACAATCTGTGAATGTGCCAAACCTTATCACTTTAACTTTAGGACTAATTCATTTTTACTTTGAAAGCCAATTATTTAATAGAGTCTAGTATAACAAAAAGTGCATTTAACTTATTGCACAAACCAGGGGTCAGCAACCATTTAATACAGAGGAGCCAAAAGTCACAATTTACAAAATTTGTCAGTTTTTAAAGAGCATCAAACATCTTTATTTTATATTGACTAAATTCTTTTTTTTTTGGCATAATTTTCTTTTGTTTGCATAGCAGACTAACCAACAACAACTTTGAAAAAACAATAGCATTACAAGTATACAACTTGTGTGTGCTTATTTAGTTCTGTATGTGTTGGGTCTTTTCAAAGCATAACACGGTTTTTAAAAAGTAGAAATATAAATAGTAACACAGGACAGCAAGTGCTGCCTAATTTTCCTTTTTTTAAGTAATTGATTTTATTTAAAAAAGTAACATTGCTGACGTCAACTACCCTTGACTCCCCCCTCCCCCTTATCATCAACTGTTAAATATTTTCAGACTCCCCTCCTTTGCCCCTATTTTGTTGATGTAATTAATGGATAGCCTCTTAATTAACTATGGAACAATTAATATAATTTCTATTTTGTTTATTATAAAGATTTATCTATCATTTTTACTTTAGATTCAATCTATAAGATATATGTGTAAACATATATAGATATACATATATATAATGATGTTTGATCCAGAAATATTTGGTAAGTTAATTCACAGTTTGTGATTTTAAACATGAAAATGTTTGATAATTTAAAACTTAGCCATTTAAAACTTTAGTTAAGTATGTATATTAGGGTTATGACTTTTTGTAAACTAATTAATTTTTGTGCCATAAATCAATGGACTTTTGCTTGAAAATAATGAAAATGGTTTTTATTTTAATTAATTTTCAAAAAGGTCACCCACAACATGAAAATTAAAAAAATGATATATAAGTAATATTTGCAGGCATTTTGACTTTCTAAATCATCAAATTTTCTTGAACCTTATATAACTTACTAGAATTTTTCGGACTGTTCTGGTCTGTTCGGTTTTTAGAAATCTCTAAAACTTTCTAGAATTTTCTGGAGTTTTCTAGAAGTTTATGGAAATTAGCAAATCTTAAACTAAATAAGCTACCTGATTTGGCAACACTAATAGTTATTATTATTATTGCCTTTTAGAAATATAATAAAGTATTATCTTCTATTATATATGAAAAGTACTTCCACTACTGAAAGAAAGAAAACAATCTGGATAAAAAATCTTGTATAATTTTATTAGTCACATAGGTAAAGAAGAACTGTTTCACTAGAAGAACAATCACTGGAAGATAACACCAACAGGCCTTGGTCGGAAGCAAGAGCTTTAGCTCTTGCCCAAACTCCCCTAAAGTGGTTTACAATACTAATTTAGGGCTTGAGCAAAATTATAATTTTTTCTTAAATATAAACAACTTTCTTTCCTTCTTTATTTTAGATATTGAGTAGAAAAGTTAAAAATTATTGTGCAAACTTCATCGAATAAACAAAAAATAAAGTTCCAGTTTCAGATTGATTTTTTTTAATTACAAAATGCGATTGTTTATTTTTGGCTATAATAAATCAATGTATAACTAGTACGAAAACCTAAAGAAAACACTTGTGTAAGAATTTTTTTATGGCAAGTTAAACAAAGCTCATTATGTATATATTCTGACATCACAAAAAAAAAGATGGTGAATGGTTCTGTAGTAAAGACAAAAGATTGTTTTGTTCTCAGATTGAAAGCAAAGGTATTCAGCTGAAAAGGCTGCTAGATTGAAAATTACCCATCCATTCAAAAGAAGAAAATTGTCCTTAAAGTCTACTTCAACAAAAGTAATGGCAAAAGCAACTTCCGAATCCGAGTCTAAAGCAGAATATCAAGAGTCTGAAGATTCAGAAAAATAGTACACAAGTACCAGCAATAACTACTGAAAAACCAAAAATGCAACCAAATCAGCACTATCCTCAAAGTTATCAGCCTGCAAAACAGCAACCGTTTGTTGAAGGTTATCTTATGATGGGATCGACATTCAGAAAACAAACTGGAAAACCACAATTCATTGGTCAAGATTATGTTCTTGATTAAACATTGAGTCCTTCAATTAGTAATGAATGAAGGACTTGGAGGAAACAGCATATCGTCCAATATTAAATATCTGTTTATCCCAGAATTTGCAAAAAAACTACAAACAACCAAGTAAGAATTTCAAGAATGGTAAAGTCATTACTGAAACAGGGTGGCATGATAATATAAAATTTTTATGGGTGTTGTTTTTTAAAGTAAAGTTTTAAAATATACATAAGTTAAATAATGCAAGATGGAATTCTCAGGCAATACTTACTCTTTTCACATTTATTCTTTACCAGAGAGTCGAGATTCAGCTCTTACATATCATTGATTTACTGGTCAACATTTTTTTGATATATACAATAGCTTTTTGTCCTTGTGAATTATCATTTAAGTTTGTAATTTTTTGATTTATTTCTAATTAAAATTAAAATGGTGTAACAATAAATTTGAATTAAATGCTTAAAAGCTACATGATAATTCTCTAATTAAAAAATTAGAATAAAAAAAAACGATCATAAAATTGTAAAAAATTTTATCCATATGCATATATAGTAAATTCAAAGTTTTGGTATTCGGGTGACTTTTTTTAACAAGAAAATTAAATTATTGTTTTTTTAATTACTATTGTACAAATATTCATCTATATATATGACCCAGGAACATGGGGTCACAAAAAAATCAAAAGTAATTAGGGTTATGACTCATAGCCCTAATATGTATACATATCCCTTTTCCTTAAAAAATTGGAACTGAATGAGATGAAACAAAATATCATCTCTCCAGCCTGATGTTTTGAGAATTACTTAGGTTCCATTATCCGATAATTTGCTTTTGGAGAGGCGTTCTGCACTTTTCTTCCAGTGAATATTCTTCCATAGGGACCATTCTTCTTTTATGAGAGTCTTCAAATTTACCAGATAATTGATCCAGATATCCTTGTTCTTCTGAATGCTACTATCGCTAGGCTTGTACGGCATCACGTTTTGCTTCTGTAATAACTATAAAATTAGCTGAGCAGCTATATATATAGTCTAAAATGTTCTAGAATATTCCAGAATGTTCTAAATTGTTCTAGAATGTTCCAAAATATTTTGAATGGTTTTAGAATGTTCTAAATTGTATATATATATATATATATATATATATATATATATATATATATATATATATATATATATATATATATATATATATATATATATATATATATATATATATATATATATATATATATATATGTGTGTGTATATATATATATATATATATATATATATATATATATATATATATATATATATATATATATATATATATATATATATATGTATATATATATATATATATATATATATATATATATATATATATATATATATATATATATATATATATATATCAGGCTTGGTCAGGAAGCGGGAGCAATCCCTCTCGATTGCTGACCACGTAAATAATATTTAGTTGCGAAAAGCTGGCCAGATTTTTTAGTCGTATTGAGAACATTTTAAAAAGCAAAAAAAAAAAGCGACTAAGATTAGTTGAACCGATGAGAGACAATTACAAAAAAAAAAAAAAAAAAAAAAAAAAGGCAAATAAAATATCTTTAAACGCAAAAAAACTTAAAGCTAAATAAATTAAATTTAGAACAAATATTTTCGAGACATCGCTCTTTAATAATTTTTTTCATAAAATTAAGCGATGTTTTTTATATAAAGTAACAACTTACTATTGTTTAAAAGGAAAACACATATTATTTAACTAAGTTTGCAAGTTTTAGTTTTACTTAAGCTAAATTATTTTATAAATAAAAAATTAATTTTTTTAATACCTATTTTATGTTTCGCGTAGTTTGAAAAGTTTAACATACTTGAAGCGATTCTTCTTAGTAAGATAAACAAATGAAATAATTAAATCATTGAATTACAATAGGAATTAAATTATCAAGATAGAAATCAACTAAAAATGTTAAAAATACTTAATGACCAGGAAGCAAAAGTGCTTCACAATATCGCTGATGATGTTTAGTGAGTGGATTTTTTAATTTAATTAGTATTTAAAGCAGAAAAAAGTATAACGAGTTTTAAGAATGGCAACTTAAGCAAAAATAATCAGAGTTAGTAAACCAATATCTAGAAACTTTTCTTTATATCTAATTATTTGCTATATATATTTGTGTTCTGTCGTGACCTCAGGCGCGATGTTTGTTCATCCGCGAGTTACTTTGTATGCGTTGTTTGTGTTTAGTAACCAGAAACTTCTTATATGTTTGTTACATAATTAGTTTTATTAACTTTAACGATAATAACTTCATTGAAAACGCAATTATTTTTGTAAGTCTTTGTCATAAAAATTACTTTAAAAGATACATTACGATAAAGAACAAATACACAAAATTACATTTACATAAAGAATACAATCTCTTTTAAAATAAAAAATAAGAATATACTAATAAAGTCTATGATTTATAATAAACTTTTAAAATTTTAACAATTTAATTAATATATATTTAAAACATTTATTTTCGTAAACAAATAATATATATTCTTAAAGCAATGCTAGAAATCTCAAAACGTAATAAATCGTGAGTAATAATACAATTTCTAAAACATTTTAACAGAATACTCTAGAACTTTATTTCGCTTAATCAGCGTATTTTTTGAACCAATAGAATTAATTTGTTCATTAATTTGGCGTTCGCAAATATTCTTTTTATTCTTTCGCACAAAGATATTTAGGGAACATTCAAGTTTTTTATGTTTCCATGTATGTCCGTAAGACAAAAATTTTTTGTTTCGTACATAAACTTAAATGTTCTCAAAACGACTAAAAAACCTGGCCAGTTTTACGCAACTAAATATAAATTCCGTGGTCAGTATTCAAGAGCGATTGCTCCCGCTTCCCGACCAAGCCTGATATATATATATATATATATATATATATATATATATATATATATATATATATATATATATATATATGTATATGTATGTATACAGAGCCGTACTTATATGTATATATATATATATATATATATATATATATATATATATATATATATATATATATATATATATATATATATATATATATATATATATATATATATATATATATATATGTATACAGAGCCGTACTTTTGCAAGTGCAACAAGAGCAACCGCACTGGGTCCCTGATATTTGAAGGGCCCCAATTATGAAAAAACATGTTTTTCTAATATTAAACCTATTTATAAGAAACTAGCACTAGAAGCCAAATCTTAAGAATCTTTTGTACTAAATTACTTTTTGATAAGAAACTTATTTTATTAAGCTATTTTATTAAATTTGAGGAATATTTCCTTATTTTGCACGCGCATTCGAATGAAATTCTATTCAAATGAAAATGGAATTTTGCTCAAAATTTCCCTTTGGAAAAGTTTTAAGCTAAAAGTGAATGAAATGGAAACAAAAAAAAATTGATTAATTTGATAACAATTTAATTTGAAAAATACTATATTTTAAAGATATTTCAAATATACCTAATAGTTCTTGTTAAACAGGCTTTCTCAGGAGAAATGTGCGGTCGCACAGCTTGAATGACCATGCAAATATATATTTTTGTTGATAACTTGGCCACGTTGAAAAACAA